TCGCAGTCCAGTCAAGTTGTTGGAAACCCAGTTGCGACGACAACGGCTCCTGTTAGATACTTCATCAAACAATTCATTCCGAGAGTCATTCGCACACCCAGGGACCTCGCCCGAGACGTCCTCGCAATTCTTTCTTCCTTTGTGGACACCCAGCTGAGCGACAGTGGCGCTCACCCGATACCTCCTCACAGCTTACTCTGGGACGCCCCGAGGACCCCCCGAAACTCAGGAGCGGCGCGCTCTGCCAACATCTCCTCGTACTTTCAGGGTCCAGTTGGCATTTGTTGGTTTCCCCTTTATTTGTTGGTTTAAAAACAGTTCAAATTAAACCAATCAAGCATAAAACTTTCAGAGTCCAGTTGGCGAGCTGCCCGCGCCGCGGGCTCGTCACCTCGCACGACGGCCATGGCGGCGCGGTGCGCGCGCAGGGTGCACTGGTGCACGACTCCCCCGGGAGCTGGTATAAAAAGACCCCCCCGGCGTGCACGAGGGAGAGGGAGAGGGAGAGGGAGATCGGGAGCCTTGAGACCTTGAGACGGGGGTCAGTGCAAACGGGGGCCAGCCAGGGCACCAGATCCTGCAGGATCCTGCGAAGACCCCCTCTGGCTGACCCGGGTTAGCGAGCCGCTCGTGGCCGCGAGGCGGCCGCGCATATTGGCTGACCCGGGTTTGCGACGACCTGCGTTGCAGTTTTTTGTTCCCTGCATTGCAGTTTTTTGGTTTCCTGCTGACCCGGGTCTGGATTGACCCGGGTCAGATGATCCCCGAGGAGAACACGCATGAATGTCAACGCAGCCTGTTAGGCCACATGTTCGCGAGATGTTTGTCGTTGCTGTCGTCGTCGCCGTCGCTGCCAATGCCGCCGCCGCCGTCGTCGTCTTTGTTGTCGCCGCCACGTCGCCGTCGTCATCGTCGTCGTCGTCGCCGCCGCCGTCGTTGTCGTCGTCGTCGTCATCCTGGTCCTCGTCTTCGCCCTCGTCCTCGTCATCATCGTGGTGGTGGTTGTGGTCGTCGTTGTCTTCGTCTTCGTCTTCGTCTTCGTCTTCGTCGTCGTCGCCTCCACGGCTTGCCCTGGCGCCCAGCCCAAAGGGGCGCCAGGGAGGGGTCCAAACTTCGCCGTCGTCGCCGGGGATCAGGGACCCATGATCGAGGATCGTCGGGGATTAATGGTCGAGGATCGAGGGGTTGTCGTCGCCGTCGGGCGTCGAGGATCGAGGATTGAGATTCTGAACGTTTTGGGGGTTTTCATGGGGCGCCCTAGTCGCCCGGCTGGATCCGCCTCGCACTTCAGCGCGGGTGAGCAGTTGCGATTTTTGATGCGCTGTGCTGCGCTGCGCTCCAACGTAAATAGAAGCAACATATTGCAACCTCAAAGTCAGCCAGGCGATCCAACAGAACGTGCCGAATGCACCCGCAGCAAAGCAGCGCTGCTCAAAGCAAAGCAAAGCAAAGCTGAGCTGACCAAGGCAAGCCACACGAAGGCATGCACTGCTATGCAGCGCAAAGTGATCGAATGTCCTGCAACGCTTCGCAAAGCATTGCAGCCCAAGACGAGGCAGTTCAAAACGAAGCTGCCCAGCTCCGCAAACTGTCGCAGCACGCTACCTTCATCAACTCCAGGTTGAGCTCGTTCTACGCTTCAGGTTGTCGTCATCTTCACCTGTAGCTTTTCTTCAGTCTGCCTGCACCTTGCCTCCAGCAGAAACGTATAGATCCTCGTATCCCGATCTGCCTTTGGCGTCCTCCTGCTTCAACACTTAAATGGCTCTCTTTCATTTTGTTGTCGCAGGGCGGGCCGGAACCAAATGTGTTGCCATGAAGTAAGAGGGGTCCTGGTGGAAAGGGCTCCTGGGCCCCAGGGTTTTCCCTAGGACCTTTGTTTCATACCGAGTTCGAACGGTCCTGGAGCTGCGGGGGGGCCCTGGAACCCGACAAGGGCGAAACACATCCAGGAAGTGCTTGTCCTTTTGTCATGTTTCTCATGCTAATGTACGGGGTCCTCGCTACGAAAAAATTGCCCAGGAGGCTTCAGACCCTGAAGGGTTCCTCATCTGATGAGGGTGCAGGTGGTATCCATGGTCAAGTCTCAATTGGTGTTCCACCAGCTTCCAGATCCTGGATTCTTTATTCCTTTCGTTTCGCGGGGTGCACGTCCGGATTGCGGAGCGTGCGGGCGTTTAGGGCGTTTTGGAAGATCTCGTCGTTTTTGTATGGGCATCGGCTTCATGAGATTTGGCTGACTTTCGGGGGCGCCCCGGGCCGTCTTCGGGCGCGGTGGGGTCGCATTGATCCTTGGATTTCCGTCTTGCACTGCGTGCCCATCCGCTCCGCTCATCCTCTGTCTGGAGGAGACAGCCAGAATGCCGCAAACCTGCCTGGAGAGGGTCGCCGCACAGCGCATGGCGAACATCTGCGCCACCACGCTACCGTGCACCTCCAAGGATCCGTCGGAGCCCAAATCGCGAAAATTCCCGGGGGCCCGAACGTACCAAATTCAACCGGCCATCATGTGCAGCTCTGCAGCAAAGCGAACGACCTCAGAGAAAAGAGGTGCGCTGGACCTCGCCGCGTGCGAGCTCGTGGCGGCATCTCAGCGTTTGGTCGGCGGACCGCCTGCACAAGCTCGGGGGGGAGATTGGGACGCACATGGACATACTAATACTATATGTCCTCCTTGGAGGCGCGCGTCCGACCCGAACATATAGTATACCCATCTTGTAGTATATCGTTTCCCGAGCGGTGTGGCCAGAAAGCGCCCGCCACGACGCATATACTATAAGATTTCTCGGTGCGCGCGTCGCCCCTGGGGGGGCGACACACATATAGTATAAGTATATTGGGGTGTTGCCGAAAGGGTGTCAATGTCACGCCGCCGTGGGGACCCAGCCAGCGTGTTGCTGCCGATCTGCGCTGTCTTCTCGGAGGAGAAGCGAGGGAGCATCACGCCGATGACGCCCTCGAGCACCCCGCGGCAGCGTGACATTGATACTCCCCCCCCCTTCCCGACAAGCGTCGCACATGCGCGGAGGACCAGCTTGCGGAGCTGTTTGATGAAGCTTTCTGTGCGATGCACAAGGGCGTTTTCGGGCGCCTCAGTGAGGCTTCTTCGCTTATGGGGGCCTCGTGGGGCCGTGTCGGTCCGTTTTGTTGTTTTTTTGCGGGTTTCGAGTCCGTCTGACCCCTCCAGCGGCCTTTTTGGGGCTTCTCGCGGCCGCCTTGGGGCGTTTTTGGGGTCCTCTTGGGTTGTCTTGGGGGCCTCCTGGACCGTGTTGGGGGCCGTCTTTGGTCCCTCCAGGGCAGTCTTGGGCCCCTTTGGGGGGTTTCTTGGGCGTTCTTGGGGCAATTTTGGCCGATGTTTTGGCCGTCGTGGGTTTTTGAACAAATCGAAGCAAGCGAAAGTTATAGACGTTTTGTTTGTTTTGTTATGTTGTGTTTTGTTTTTAATATGAAAAACGAGTATCTGGGTTTTTGGTCTCTGGGGGCGCTGTTGCGGGCGCTCTTCGGGCCTTCTTGGGCCATCTTGAGGGCCGCATAAGCCCTGGGGGGGCAACCTTGGGCTGTCTTGGGGCCGGCTTGGCCGGGTCCGAGGCCATCCCTGGCCATTTTGCGGTTCTCATGGGCCCCCCCCCTATGATGTCCAGCATCATGGAAGAGGTACCGGCGCCCTCCTCCTCGGCTCCTCACATGAATACATCCTGATGATATTGGCCCTGTTGGGCTTAAGTTGGGTAAAGATGGGAGGAGGAGGAGGAGCAGGAGCAGGAGCAGGATCAAGAGCACGAGCAGGAGAAGGAAGAGGAGGAGGAGGAGGAGGAGGAGGAGGAGGAGCAATAGCAGGAGAAAGAGAAGGAGGTGAGGAGGAGGAGGAGGAGGAGGAAGAGGAGGAGGAGAAGGAGGAGGAGGAGGACGAGGAGGAGGAGGAGTATCGGGAGCAGGAGCAGGAGGATCAGGAAGACGAGGAGCAGCAGGATCTCAGGGCTCGCCATATGTCAATCAGGATCTCAGATCTCGGGGATCTCAGGAGCAGAGTCTCAGGATCAGGAGCAGCAGGAGGAAACCTCCAATAAGTTACCTCCTCCTCCTCCTCCTCCTCCTCCTCCTCTCCTCCCTCCTCCTCCTACCTCCTCCTCCTCTCCTCCTCACTCTCCTCTCCTCCTCTCCTCCTCCTCCCTCGATCCTCCTCGATCCTCCTCCTCTCCCCCTCCCTCCCTCCTCCCCCCCTCCTCCTCCTCCTCCTCCTCCTCCTCCTCCTCCTCCTCCTCCTGCCCCGAGGGGGCCCCTCCCGTAGGGGAGGGGTCGGACCCCAGGGTCCTCCTGGCGCAGGCGGGGAGCGCCGGGCCCGAGGGGCGAAAAGCCCCCGCTCCCCTGGGACGGCCCCCATAAGCGGGGTCCCCTTCCCAGGGGGGGCTGCCAGGTCCCGGGGCCTCCCCCAGGGCGGCGCAGGGATTCCCCCCCTGCATTCGCCGCCTTTGGGCGGGGCTGGCGGTCCGTCTCCCCGTCGTGTCGTGTCGTTGTCGTCGTCGTCGTCGTCGTCGTCGTCGTCGTCGTCGTCGTCGTCGTCGTCGTCGTCGTCGTCGTCGTCGTCGTCGTCTTCGTCGTCGTCGTCATCGTCGTCGTCGTCGTCGTCGTGGGTCCCGGGGTCCGGGTCCTTTTTTGCCCTGCCCCTTGGGCGTGCGGGTGGCCCTGCCGTTCGGCCCCCCCCCTTCGTGGGGGCGGCTTCGTTCGGTTGGGGCCTCCCGCCCGCCGTGTCGTTCGGTCGGACTCGCCCGCCGGCCGGGCGCGCGGGGCACCGCGGCGGGGCCGCGTGTGACGTCCCTTGGGCTGAAGGTGCGGTGGCGAAAAAAAATAAAATCCTCTTCCTCCTCCTCCTCCTCCTCCTCCTCCTCCTCCTCCTTTCGTGCCACGCCCTTCGCCGCAACCTCCTGGCCGCCAGCGCGCCGCCCCGGCCGGCCGCCTCCCCGGCCGGCCTCCCGGCCCGCGGCGCCGCGGCCGCCATGCCGGCGCCGCCCCCGCCGCGCGCGGGCGCCGCGGCGGCGCTGGCCGTCGGGGGGGCAACGGTGGGCAGGAGGGGGAGAGTGAGGAGGAGGGAGAGGAGGAGGAGGAGGAGGAGGAGGAGGAGGAGGAGGAGGAGGAGGAGGAGGAGGAGGAGGAGGAAGAGGAGGAGGAGGAGGAGGAAGAGGAGGAGGAGGAGGAAGAGGAGGAGGAAGAGCAGGATGATGATGATGATGATGATGATGATGCTGCTGATGCTGATGATGACGATGATGATGATGGTGCGGATGATGATGATGATGATGATGATGATGCTGCTGATGATGATGGTGGTGGTGATGATGATGATGATGATAGTGCCGATGATGCTGATGCTGCTGATGATGATGAGGTTGAGGAGGAGGAGGAGGAGGAAAAGGAGGATGAGGAAGGAGGAGGATGAGGAGGAGGAGGAGGAGGAGGAGTAGGAGGACCAGTGAAAACCTAAGAAGAAACCCTACCTCCAAGCTCCCGCTTCATAGGCCCCTGCAAGGGTTCACTTCCATTCAGGGCGTCCCGTTTTTCGACGAATCAACTTGGCTGTCGCGTCTTGACGATCCCGAATCCTGCCATAACACAATTCCTGGAATTCCAACACCGCGAATCAACATATTTGCTGCGCCCTGTCAATGCTGAGTCCTTCCAGAAAATGCCGTCTTTGGTACGTTAACCATGGGAACCCGTGGAATTCCTGCAAGGTCTTAAAACGAATGCTCTCGGCGCTAAGGCGAAAGCCACATTTTGAACAGGAGCCGCCTTGAAGCCGTGAAGCTCATACAGTTTTTTGTTTACGAGTGCGAGCGGCGCGCAGGCGAGTGCCATATTTTGAAAACGACCCGCCCTCAACCAGTGTTCTCTAGCAATGTTTAAAGACGTATGTTCGCGGCGTGAAGGCGAGAGCCAGATTTTGAGAAGGAGCCGCCTGCAATCCGTGAAGCTCTTGAAAGTTTGCCAGGCGAATGTGCACGGCGTTGAGGCGAGAGGCGCCTCGTGAAACGACCCGCCCTCAATCCGTGAGGGCCACATAGTGAGAATGAGCCCTTTCCAATCCGTGAAAACTGTGTAAGTTTGTAAGGCGAATGTGCGCGGCGTTAAGGCGACAGGCGCATTTTGAAAGCGACCCGCCCTCAGTCAGCGACAATCGTGCAAGTAAGAAAAAACGATTGAGCCCGGCGCCAAAGCGAGAGCCACATTTTGAAAAACCGCCCGCCCTGAATCCGTGAAGTTTTTGCACGTGTTAAGCTCGAGGATCACAGATGATGGGGAAGTCTCAGTTGAAACGGCTAGCCCGCCCTTCCGACTGGCCTCCGGGTGCGACAGGGATGAGTTGCTCATAAGGAAAAGGAGTGGAGGGAAGGAGGAGGAGGATGATGATGATGAGGAGGAGGAGGATAAGGAGGAGGAGGAGGAGGACCAGTGGATCCCCAAGGCTCCATCAACGATGTTGGAATTACCTCCGAGCTCCCTCTTCAGAGGCCCCTGCAAGGGTTCTTTTCCACTCAGGGAAGTTCCTCGTCCGAAGGCAACCGTTCGGAATTCCTGAAGCGTGCCGAAACATATTTCTCATAATTGCAGCGCCAAGAATCAACTTGGCTGTCGCGTCTTGACGATCCCGAACCGTGCCAGAACACCATTCCTGGGATTTCAACACCGCGAATCAATGTAACTGTTCTGCCCTGCCCATACAGAGTCCTTCAACAACGTACTTTTTTGGCACGCTAACCATGGGAGCCAATGGAACTCTTGCAATTTCTTAAAGACGAATGCGCTCGGCGCTAGCGCGAAAGCCACATTTTGAACAGGAACCGCCCTCAAACCGTGAAGCTCTTGCATTGTTTTGCAGCGATTGCGCATAGCACTGAAGCGAGAGGCGTATTTTGAAAACGATCCGCGTTCAATCCGTGAAGGTCACGTAATTTTTCAGAACGAATATGTGCGCGGCGTTAAGGCGAGAACCATACATTGAAACTGAACCCTTTCCAGTACGTGAAACCGTTGTAATGTAAGAGGCGCATATTGAAAGCCACCCGCCCTCAGTCAGCGACAGTTTTGCATTTATTTGTGCGAGTGAGCCCGGCGCCAAGGCGAGAGCCACCCTCAATCCGTGAAGCTGCTGCAAATATCAATCTTAATGATTATAGACGGTGGGGAATCTCAGGCGAAACGCCTGGCCCGCCCTTCCGACTGGGCTCCGGGTGCGACAGGGAGGAATTATTCACAAGGAAAAGGACTGGAGGGATGGAGGAGGAGGAGGGAAAGGAAAAGGAGGAGGACAGGACAGGACATCCGCATGAGGGGGGTCAACGTCGAAACGCCCGCTAAGAAGTCGTTTGGTACGACTTGCAAAATCCCCTGCGAATGAAATTTGCAGCAGACCCAGACTTCTCATGGGACCGGCAGGGGGCGCACCCCGATGCTCGAAGGAGCGAGCTCCGAAGAGGCCACGTAAGAGAGGCTCGCTACCTTGCGAGTGCGAGTCCCTACGGGTCAGTGCGGGGGGAGCAGCTGCTGGCCCTCTCGCGTGCCCACTCCTTGGGGAACGCGCTGGGCGAGCAGGGCTCCCAAGCAGGGGGATGAAGACGACACGACCACTCCACAACGACACAGGAGGAGAGGAGGAGGTAGGGAATGCAGGAGGCCCCGTTTCGTGCCAAACTTATGCTGGGGGCCTAGGTCATGTTCTACCAAGGTCTTGCGGGGCCCACGTTTCGAACAGAGACCCTCCCTCTCTAGACTCACTTCGCTTCCTGGACGTGCTTGTCGATGGCCATACCATGCAATGTCGTGTTCGACACCTTCCCTGTGCTGCAATACGCTGCATCCAAGTTTTCAGTAGTAATCAAAGTGTACCTCTCAAATGCCCCTTCCAGTCGGCGTGTAGGTATGGGGCGAGCAAAACCACCATGGCCACGGCGTGTGAGAGGCCTCCATATCTGCGCTGCTGGTCATGTCCCACTGTCGTTCCTCGGCGTGTCAATATCTGCTTTACCAATCCTGCGTGGGGTGGACGTCGGATGGGGCTAGATGCCACGGGCTTTTTCAGGAGGCCTTGGAGGAGGGGCCTTTAGGGAGCGCTCTACTGGTCTCTGTGGGGCCCTCGTTTTCAACTCGTCGTCCCAAAAGGAGGAGGAGGAGGCGGAGGAGGAGGAGGACGGGGAGGAGGAGGAGGAGGAGGAGGAGGAGGAGGACCAGTGGAAACCGAAGATTCATCAACGATGTTTGAATAGACTCTCCCTTCGAACCCCTTCTTCACAGGCCCATTCAAGGGTTCACTTCCACTCAGGGAACTTCCTCGTTGGGAAACTACCTTTGGAAGATCCTCAAGCGTGTCAAAGCACTGTTTTCAGAATTGCAGCGCCACGAGTCAATTTGACTGTCGCGCCTGGACGATCCCGAATCGTGCCAGAAAGCCATTCTTGGGAATTCAACACCGCGAATCAACACAGCTGTTGCGCCATCACAACCTTGTCCTTCCAAAACACCACTTCTGGACCATGGGAATCTGCGAACATCTTGCACATGTTTAAGAAGAGTGTGCGCGGCGCTGAGGCGAGAGGCGCATGTTGAAAACGATCCGCTCCAAATCTGCGAAGTTCACGCAATGTTTAAGACGAGTGTGGGCGGCGCGCAGGCGAGAGCCACATTTTGAAAGCCCGCCCTCAGTCAGTGAAACTCTGGCAAGTTAAAACAAAAACGAGTGCGCGCGGCGTTAAGGCGAGAGCCACATATTGAAAATGAGCCGCCTTCAAGCCGCGAAGCTGTTGACAGCCTGTAAGGCGAGTGTGCACGGCGCTGTGGCGAGAGGCGTATTTTGAAAACGACCCGCCCTCAATCCGTGAAGCTCACGCATTTTTTATGACGAATGTGCGCGGCGTTAGGGTGAGAGGCACAGTTTGAAAACGACCAGCCCTTAGTCAGCGAAAATCTGACACATGTTTGGAACAAGTGAGCCGGCGCCAAAGCGATAACCACAGTTTGAAGACCGCCCTTAATCCGTGAAGTTATTGCGAATTGCAAGCTGGAGGATCATAATTTGTGAGGAAGTCTCAGGCGAAACGCTCGGCCCGCCATTTCGACCGGCCTCGGTGTGCGACAGTAAGGGCTCATTTAGAAGGAAACGGCGGGGAGGAGGAGGAGGAGGAGGAAGAGGAGGAGGAGGAGAAAGTGGTGGAGGAAATGGAGGAGGAGGTGGAGGAGGAGGGAGAGGATGAGGCGGAGGAGGAGGAGGAGGAGGAGGAGGAGGAGGAGGAGGATCTGAGAGGAGGAGGAGGAGAAGGCCGTGGGGAGGAGGAGAAAGGAGGACGAGGACGAGGAGGAGGAGAAAGGAGGAGGGAGGAGAGAGGAGGAGGAGACGAATAGGAGGAGGAGAAGGAGGAGGAGGAGTTGAGGAGGGGGAGGAGGAGGAGGAGGGGAGGAACGACAAGGAGGAGGAGGAGGAGGGGAGGGGGAGTTGGAGGGAGGTGGAGGAGGATGTGGAGGAGTATGGAGGAAGAGGAGGAGGAGGAGGAGGAGGAGGAGGAGGAGGAGTAGGAGAAAGAGGAGAGGCGGAGGTAGAGGAGGAGGAGGAGGATGAGGACGAGGAAGAGGAGGAGAAGCAGCCCCGCTTCGGAGAAAGCGGGGGACAAGCGGAGGAGGAGGAAGAGGAGGAGGAAGAGGAGGAGGAGGAGGAGAAGTAACAGGAAGAGGAGGAGGAGCATATGATGATGGTGATGATGATGCTGCTGATGATGTTGATGATGAGGATGATGCTGGTGATGGTGATGATGGAGATGATGACGATGATGGTGATGATTATGATGAAACTGACGCTGCTGATGATGATGCTGATGATGATGATGATGATGAGGAGGAGGAGGAGGAGGAGGAGGTGCAGGTCTTGGTTCAGGAGACAGCGGGGGAAACGGAGGAGAATGATGATGAGGACGAGGAGGAGGAGGAGGAAGAGGAGGAGGAGGAGGAGGAGCAGGAGGAGGAGGAGGAGGAGCAGGAGGAGCAGCAGGTGAGGAGG